GTTCTGTTTTTAGCTCTTTGAGGAATCACCACATTGTTTTCCAAAATGGCTGAACTAATTTACACAATCACCAACAGCGTACAAGCATTCCCTTTTCTCTGAAACCTTGCCAGCATCTGTAACTTTTTGACTTTTAGTAATAGCCATTCCTGCTGGTGTGAGATATCTCATTGTGGTTTTGATTTGCATCCTTTCTCTAATGATCGGTGATACTGAGTTTTTCTTCATGTGCGTGTTGGCTGCATGTATGTCTTTTGAAGTGTCTGTTCATGTCCTTTGCCCACTTTCTAATGGGATTGTTTGTTTTTCTCTAGTAAATGTGTTTAAGTTCCTTATAGATGCTGGATATTAGACTGTTGTAAGATACATAGTTTGCCAAAATTTTCTCCCATTCTGTAGGCAGTCTGTTTACTTTGTTAATAGTTTATTTTGCTGTGCAGAAGCTCTTAAGTTTAATTAGATCCTATTGTCATTTTTTGCTTTTGTTGTAATCGCTTTTGGTGTCTTTGTCATGAAATCTTTGTGTTCCAATGTCCAGAATGTTCCTATGCCTAGGTTGTCTTCTAGGGTTTTTATAGTTTGGGGCTTTACATTTAAGTCTTTAATCCATCTTGAGTTGATTTTTGTAAATGATGTAAGGAAAGGATCCAGTTTCAATCTTCTATGTATGGCTAGCCAGTTATCCCAGTACCATTTATTGAATAGGGAGTCCATTCCCCATTGCTCGTTTTTATCGGCTTTGTCAAAATCAGATGGTTGCAGGTGTGTGGCCTTATTTCCTGGTTCTCTATTCTGTTTCATTGGTCTTTGTATTTGTTTTGGTACCTGTCCCATACTGTTTGATTTACTGTAGCCCTGTATTATGTTTTGAAATCAGCTCATCTTATACCTCCAGGTTTGTTGTTTGTGCTTAGGATTGCCTTTGCTATTCAGGCTCTTTTGGTTCCATATGAATTTTAAAATAGATTTTTCCAGTTCTGTGAAGTACATCACTGGTAGTTTGATAGAAATAACATTGGATCTGCAAATTGCTTTGGGCAGTATGGCCATTTTAATGATTTAATTCTTCCTATCCATGAGCATGTAATGTTTTTCCATTTGTTTGTTTCATCTCTCATTTATTCGAGCAGTGTTTTACAATTCTCATTTTAGAGATCTTTCACCTCCTTTGTTAGCTGTATTCCTAGGTATTTTATGCTCTTTGTGGCAATTGTGAATGGGACTGTGTTCCTGATTTGGCACTCAGCTTGACTGTTGTTGGTGGATAGGAATGCTAGTGATTTTCATACACTGATTTTGTATCCTGAAACTGGCAAAGTTGTTTATAAGCTGCCAGGGCTTTTGGGCAGAGAGTATAGTGTTTTCTATATACAAAATCATGTTGTCTGTAAACAGGGGGCATTTGACTTCCTGTTTTCCTGTGTGAATGCCCTTTATTTCGTTCTCTTGTCCTGTTGCTCTGGCCAGGACTTCCAATACTATGTTGAATGGGGTGGTGAGGGAGAGCATCATTGTCTTGTACAGGTTTTCATGGGAATTCTTTCAGCTTTTCCCCATTCCATGTGATGTTGTCTGTGGGTTTGTCATAGATGGCTCTTAGTATTTTGGGATACGTCCTTTGAATACCTAGTTTTTGAGAGTTTTTAACATGAAGGAATTGATATTGAATTTTATTGAAAGCCTTTTCTGCATCTATTGAGATAATCATGTGGCCTTTGTCTTTAGTTCTTTTTATGTGACGAATCACATTTATTGATTTGCACATGTTGAACCAACCACTTGCATCCTTGCAATGAAGCCGACTTGATCATGGTAAATCAGTGTTTTGATGTGTTGCTGGATTTGGTTTGCAAGCATTTTATTGAGAACTTTTGCATTAATGTTCTTCAAGGATACTGGCCTGAAGTTTCTGTATTTTGTTGTGTCTCTGCCAGATTTTTGTATCAGGATGATGCTGGCCTCATGGAATGAGTTAGGGAGGAGTCCCTCCTCCTCAATTGTTTGGAATAGTTTCAGTAGAAAGGGTACCAAATCTTCTTTGTACATCTGGTAGAATTCAGCTGTGAATCCACCTGGTCCTGGGCCTGTTTTGATTGGTAGGGTATTTATTCCTAATTCAGTTTCAGAGCTCATTATTGGTCTGTTCAGGAATAAACTTCTTCCTGGTTCAGTTTTTGGAGGATGTATGTGTCCACAAATTTATTCATCTCTTTTGTGTTTTCTAGTTTGTATACATAGAAGAGTTCATAGTAGTTTCTGAGGATTATTTTTATTTCTGGGGGGTCAATGGTAGTATCCCCTTTGTCATTTCTAATTGGGTTTGTTTGGATTTACTCTCTTTTATTCTTTATTAGTTTAGCTAGTGGCCTATTTATCTATCTTATTAATTTTATCCAAAAACCAACTCCTGAATTCATTGATCTTTTCAATGTTTTTCATGCTTCCATTTCCTTCAGTTCTGCTCTGATTTGGTTATTTCTTGTTTCCTACTAGCTTTGGGGTTGGTTTGGTCTTGCTTCTCTAATTCTTCAATTGTATTAGGTTTTTAAATTGAGATCTTTCTAACATTTTGATGTGGATATGTATTAGTCTATTCTCATGCTGCTAATAAAGACATAGCTGAGACTGGATAATTTATAAAGAAAAGAGGTTTAATTTACTAACAATTCAGCATGACTGGGAGGCCTCAGGAAACTTACAATTGTGGCAGAAGGGAAGCACATACATCCCCTTCACATGGCAGCAGCAAGGAGAATTGCTGGCAAAAGTGGGGAAAGTCCCCTTATAAAATCATCAGATCTCCCGAGAACACAATCACTATCATGATAACAGCATGAGGATAACTACCCTCATGACTCAATTACTTCCCACCAGGCCCCTTCCACAATATGTAAGGATTATTGGAACTACAATTCAAGATGAGATGAGTTTTGGGTGGGGACATAGCTGAACCATATCATTGAACACATGGCTCCTCCCAAATCTCATGTCCTCACATTTCAAAACCCAACCATGCCCTTTATTTCTTCCCTCCCTCCATCCCTTAGTCCGTCCGTCCCTCCCTCCCTCCCTCCCTCCCTCCCTCCCTCCCTCCCTCCCTTCCTTCCTTCCTTCCTTCCTTCCTTCCTTCCTTCTCTTTCTCTCTCTCTTTCTCTCTTTATTTCCTCTTTCTCTCTCTCTCTTTTTTTTTTTTTTTTGAGGTGGAGTTTTATCCTGGTTGCCCAGGCTGGAGTATAGTAATACAATCTCTGCTCACAGCAACCTCTGCCTCCCAGGTTCAAGTGATTCTCCTCCCTCAGCCTCCCGTGTAGCTGGGATTATAGGCATGTGCCACAATGACCAGCTAATTTTGTATTTTTAGTAGAGACAGGGTTTCACCATGTTGGTCAGGCTGGTTTTGGTCTCCTGACTTCAGGTGATCCACCTGCCTCAGCCTCTCAAAGTGCTATGATTACAGGTGTGAGCTATCACGCCAGGCCAATCATGCCCTTCCAACAGTCCCCCAAACTCTTAACTCATTCCAGCATTAACTCAAAAGTCCAAGTCTAAAGTCTTATCTGAGACAAGGCAAGTCCTTTTCACCTATGAGCCTGTAAAATCAAAAGCAATTTAGTTACTTCTCAGATACAATAGAGGTATGGGCATTGGGTAAATACACCTATTCCAAATGGGAGACATTGGCCAAAACAAAGGGGCTACAACCCCATGCAGATCCAAAATCTAATGAGGCAATAATTAAATCTTGGAGTCTGACATACAGGTCATGCTGATGGAAGAGGTGGACTCCCATGGCCTTGGGCAGCACAGCCCCTGTGGCTTTGCAGGGTACAGCCCTCCCCCACCCGCCCCAGCTGTTTTCCTAGGCTGTGGTATTTCCAGGCACATGGTGCAAGTTGTCAGTGGAACTAACTTTCTGGAGTCTGGAGGATTGTGGCCCTCTTCTCACAGCTCCACTAGGCAATTCCCCAGTGGAGATTCTATGTGGGGGCTCTGACCCCACATTTCCCTTCTGCACTATCCTAGCAGAGGTTCTCTGTGGGGCTCCACCACTGCAGCAAAGTTCTCTCTGGACATCCAGGTGTTTCCATACATCCTTTGAAATCTAGATGGAGGTTTCAAAGCCTCAGTTCTTGGCTTCTGTGCACCCTCAGGCTCAACACCACGTTGAAAGCTGCCAGGACTTAGGGCTTGCATCCTCTGAAGAAATGGCCTGAGCTGTACCTTGGCCCCATTTTAGCCATGGCTGGAGTGGCTGGGATGCAGAACATGAAGTCCCTAGGCTACACACAGCAGAGGGGTCCTGGGCCGGGCCCACAAAACCATTTTTCCTCCTAGGCCTCTAGGGGTGGAACTGCTGTGAAGGTCTCTCACATGCATTTTTTTGGAGACATTTTTTTCCCTTTTCTTGGTGATTAACATTATGCTCCTCATTAGTTATGCAAATTTCTGTGGCAGGTTTGAATTTCTCCCCAGAAAATGGGTTTTCTTTTCTGTTCCATTATCAGGCTGCAAATTTTCAAATCTTTTATGCTATGCTTCCTCTTGAATGCTTTGCAGCTTAGAAATTTCTTCTGCCAGATACCCTAAATTATCTCTCTCAATTTCAAAATTCCACATATCTCTAGGACAGGGGCAAAATGCCACCCTTATCTTTGCTAAAGTATAACAATAGTCACCTTTGCTCCAGTTCCCAATAAGTTCCTCATCTCCATCTGAGACCGTCACAACCTGGACTTCATTGTCCATATTACTATTGGCATTTTGGTCAAAGCAATTCAATGAGTCTCTAGGATGTTCCACACTTTCCCAGATTTTCCTGTCTTCTTCTGAATCCTTCAAGCTGTTGCAACCTCTGCCTGTTAACCAGTTCCAACGTCGCTTCCACATTTTTGGGTATCGTTATAGCAGCACCCCACTTTACCAGTATCAATTTACTATATTAGTCCATTGTCACACTGCTAATAAAGACATACTTGATATTGTGTAATTTATAAAGCAAAGATGTTTAATTTACTCACAGTTCGGCATGGCTGGAGAGGCCTCAGGAAACTTACAATCATTGTGGAAGGGAAAGCAAACGTCCTTCTTCATATTGTAGCAGTAAGAAAAAGTGCCAAGAAAAAGGGGGTCTATCTCCTTTAAAACCATCAGATCTCTTGAGAACTCACTACCATGAGAACAGCGGCATGCAGGTAATCACCTCCATGATTCAGTTACCTTCTACAAGCTCCCTCCCATGACATGTAGGGATTATGGGAACCACAATTTAAGATGAGATTTGGGTGGGGACACAGCCCAACTACATCAGGGCATGTAATGCTGTAGATATCCCTCGTAATACTGCCTTAGCTTTGCCCCAGAGATACTGGTATGTTGTATCTTTGTTCTCATTAGTTTCAAACAACTTCTTGATGTCTGACTTTCATTTTTTTATCCAAAAGTCATTCAGGAGCATATTGTTTAATTTCAATGCAATTGTATGGTTTTGAGCAATTTTTTTAGTCTTGACTTCTAATTTTATTGTGCTGGTCTAAGAGTGTGTTTGTAATGATTGTGGTTCTTTTGCAGTTTTTGAAGATTGTTTTATGTCTGATTGTGTGGCCACTTTTAGAGTATGTGCCATATGGTGATGAGAAGAATGTATAGTCTGCTGTTTTGGGGTAGAGAGTTCTGTAGAGGCCTATCAGGTCCATCTGGTCCAATGTTGAGTTCAGGTCCTAAATATCTTTGTTGATTTTCTGCCTCAATGATCTGTCTGATACTCTCAGTGGAGTGTTGAAGTCTCCCACTATTACTGTGTGGAACTAGAAGTTTCTGTATAGGTCTCTAAGAACTTACTTCATGAATGTAGGTGCTCCTGTGTTGGGTGTGCATATATTTAGGGTTAGGTTAAGTTGTCTTTTTGAATTGAACCCTTTCTGATTATGTAATGCCCTTCTTTGTCTTTGTGATCTTTGACTGGATAAAGGATAAAGTCTGTTTTGTCTGAAATTAGGGTTTCAACCCATGCTTTTTCTAATTTCCATTTGCTTGGTAGATTTTCCTCATCCTTTTATTTTGAGCTTATGGCTATCATTCATTGCCTATGAGATGGGTCTCTTGAAGACAGCATACCTTTGGGTCTTGCTTTTTTATCCAGCTTGCTACCCTGTACCTTTTAAATGGGACATTTAGCCTATTGAGATTCAACATTATTATTGATATGTGTGAATTTGATCTTGCCATTTTGTTATAAGCTGGTTATCATGCCAGCTTGTTTGTGTGGTTGCTTTATCATGTTACTGCTTTGCATATGAAACTGATAAGAAGAGATACTACATTTGATCTTAGCCAAAAGGCTGAGAAGGACTTATCTTTTATTTTCTATCTATACTTTTTCCTCTCTGCTTGTTTTGGTATATTCTGTTCATGTTAGAGATTTAACGCAAATATTCATCATCATTGCCTATCCACTTATATTTAGAGAGTGGCACTAAAATATTGAATGTATGTATTAGATGGGAGGGGCATTCTTCTCTGAAAGGCTTGACTGTATGGTAGTAAAACAGCAAACTGGTTTTGTTATGGATGACCATTGGAATGTTCACAGCTAAGGCCTTTTTATCTTCATCTTGTAAGTTTTCCCAAAGATAAACCTGTACTCATGAAGGCATGGGGAGTATGTATAATCTGGCTCTGAGTACTCTGAGAGATAAGTGGGGGATACTCTATTCAGTATGTTGGTTTTAGTGGATCACCTCTGGTTTTACTGGATCACCTCTGGTTTTACCTGGTGTGTACTCACTGTCAGCCAGCTACAGAATCCTTGAAGCTAGATCCTCTCTGCTTGATATGTTGTAGTGACTACATTTTCAGTTTTATATAGGAATTGAGAAGGGACTGCCATCTGGTGGCAAGGCAGGTGTAGAAGGGGGTCTGGGGGTTCTTAACATTTCTTACACAGATTTTCAGGTAATTTTGTTTTCAGCTCTAGCTGTTCCTGCTTTTAGAAGAATCTGGTCTCCCAATTTTTGGGTCCTTCTGGCAGTCAATGGGTTAAATTGGTTGTATTCTGCTTTTTTACCTAATGGACATATGCGCTTTAGTTTTCACTGCTGTGCTTAATCAGTTACCATTTGTTCAACCATTTTCCTTCTTCCAAAATGTTTGCATCTCTCAATTGCTGTCACTTTCCCCTCCATTCTCTTGGTATATGTGGGTATGTTTATGTATATTTAATTCCTACACTGTCATTTTCGTGTGTTTGGAAGAAAATGGAGGTTAATGCATGTGTTTAATCTGTGATGTTTAATTGAAAGTTGAACTCTTCTCAAGTGTTTTTTCTAAAAGTAGATTACTATGTATACACACACATGTGTATGCACATGCTCATACATTTGCTAAATGTATATATATCTTTCACAAAATTAGGAGCAAGCTGTAAGTCTTATTACATGGCTTTTTTTCCCTCATAATTCTTTCATTAACACTTTAATGTCATTAAATATTCTTGAATGCTTGGACTTTTACATCAATTAAATTATATCGTATTGCCATATTATTATTTAATTATGTCCTTACACTTGGGCATTTAAATTGCTTTCAGTCTTTCACCACAGTAAATAATACTGCTGTGAGATTTTTCATCTAAATCTCTGTTAGGATTTCTCATTATTTCTTCTAGATTGGGATTGTCCAATCGGTGATGTGGGCATTTTAATGTGATATGTGATTCATATTGTGTTATATGATTCACAACGTGATAATGTGATACATATTATCAAATTGCTCCTCAGAAAATCTTTGAGACAACTTCAAGTCCAAGCATCAAGTGATTACTCATTGAATATTTGCTAATGTTAGGAATTATCACTGTTTCCAAATCTTTGCTAATTTAATAAGAAAGGACACTGCATCCTATTGACCTGGTTTTTCCTTATTACTTGTGTAGCCAAATATATTTTATGTTTTGTCCTCTGGGAATTATATGTTCATAAACATATTTATATTTTCCATCTATGTGTATAAGCTTTTTTTTTTAATGGAAAAAGGATATTATTCTTTACCTGCTACTTATATTTTTTGAGTTTTTATATGCTTTCAGAATTTTTGATGTCTCTGATGAATAGTTTTAATTTTGATGTTGTCCATTATAGAAAATCTTATATGTTCTTTTGCTTTTGAACTTCAAAAGTTATTTCCTTATCCCCAAATGAGTATTCTCTTATATTTTTCTAGATTTAATTATTTGATTTTAAAAAAATTCTTCTTCATGTTCAACTCTTTATAGGTATGAATTAATTAGCTAATTAATTAATTTTTCATTCACAATGTGGATAGGAATCTAAGTACATTGTTTTTCAAATGCTGTAGTTAATCACTATTCCAGAATGATGAATTAATAGTTTAGCCTTTCTCCACTCATTAAAACTGGGACCCTTCTCATCAAATGCATTCTCATGTATGGTCTATTGATGTTCTTTCTTCTTCTTGTCATTAGCCTGTCTGTTTTTATGTCAGTACAACACTTTTTAAATTATTGTGTCTTTACCAGGTATTTAATGCTTAATAGGACATCCTCTTCTAGTTACACTTTATGGACAAAAAAGAGAGACAGAGACAGAGAGAGAGAGAGAGAGAGAGAGAGAGAGAGAGAAATTCTTTGTGTCTCCTTTCAAATGATCTTTAGAATTATTTTGCCGGTTTCCAGAAAACTCCTCTTTGGTTTTATTTGAATTGCACATATTGCTCAAATTATTTTTGTGATAACTTCTATCTTGACTTTATTGAGCCTTCAGACTCAGAATCATTACCTGTATCTTCACTTTTTCAATGATTCTTTTATATCCTTCAGTAAAAATTTTGTGGGTTTCTTCATCTGGCCCTCACACCTCTCTGTTTAAGTTGACTCCTAGGTATTTACTACCATGTGATTTAATTTATTTCGTGTTAATGTTTTCAAGTAGTTATTGATGCTGTATAAGAAAGCTGTTGTGTTTTATCTATTTGTTTTTTAATCACTCATCTTACTGAACTTTTTTTTTTTAATCAGTACTACAGGTTTTTAAATTCATGCTTGGGTTTTTTAGGTGTTCCTTCATATTGTCAGGCAAATAATGATAATTTTATCTCTTGCTTTTCTAGTACATAAAAATTTATTCCTTTCTAACTTCTTCCTTCTCTCTATTTCCTTTGAATTTTATTGCTTAGAATTTGCAAATCAATATCGAATAATATTGGTATAACCTTGTTTCATTCCTGAATTCAATAGAAATGGCTTCAGTGTTTGCCTCATATATGTTGTCTTCGACTTTAGATGGGTGCTGATATTCTGGGGTAGTATTCTTCTACATCTAAAACACTGACTTTATTTTCAGGAAGATGTGAGTAATAAACTTTTAAAAATTTTATTATTTACATTTTGTTTCTTTATTCTTTTTTAAAAAAAAAACCCGGATACATGTGGCGAATGTGCAGGTGTGTTACACAGGTATATGTGTGCCATGGTGGTTTGCTGTACTTATTGATCCATCCTCTAAGTTCCCTCCCCTTACCCCATCATCCCTCAACAGGCCCTGGTGTGTGTTGTTCCCTTTTCTGTGTCCAGGTATTCTCAGTGTTCAACTTGTGAGTGAGAACATGCAGTTTTTGTTTTTTTGTTCCTGTGTTAGTTTGCTGAGGATGCTGGCTTCCACCTTGATCCATGTCCTTGCACAGGACGTGATCTCATCTTTTATGGCTGCATAGTATTCCATGGTGTATAAGTACCACATTTTCTTTATCCATGTCATTGATGGGCATTTGGGTTGGTTCCATGTCTTTGCTATTGTAAATAGTGCTGCAATAAATATGCATATGCACGTGTCTTTATAGCAGAATGATTTCTATTCCTTTGGGTGTATACCCAGTAATGGGATTGCTGGGTAAAATGGTGTTTCTGGTTCTAGAACCTTGAGGAATCACCATACTGTTTTCTCCAATGATTGTTACATTTCTACCAACTGTGTAAAAGCATTTCTATTTCTCCATAACCTCACCAGCATCAATTGTGTCCTGACTTTTTAATAATTGCCACTCTCACTGGCATGAGATGATATCTTATTATGGTTTTGATTGTATTTCTGTGATGTTTAGTGATGTTGAGCTTTTTTTTTTCATATGTTTGTTGGCTGCATAAATGTCTTATTTTGAGAAGTGTATGTTCATAACCTTTGTCTACTTTTCGATGGGGTTGGTTTTTTTCCTTGTAAATGTATATAAGTTCTTTGTAAATTCTGGATATTAGACCTTTGTCAGATGGATATACTGCAAAATTTTTCTCCCATTCTATAGGTTGCTGGTTCACTCTGAAGCTAGTTTCTTTTGCAATGCAGGAGCTCTTTAGTTTAATTAGATCCCATTTGTCAATTTTGGCTTTTGTTACAA